CCCTGTATTGCTCAATTTGGAGTCTATTTCTCAGAAGGAAGCTTTATCATGGAAGAGAGTTTGATAAATTTTTAAGAGTTTATGGGGCCTTTGCATGGATGGACTTCTTATACTCAGCTGTACTGAAATGTGAAAATCCCCTTTCCAGTTTAACTGCCATTCTCAAATTGCCCTACTACATGTTCCAGTAAATATGCTATGATTTTGGAATTTTCCAGATCCTTCAGGTACCTAGCTGCTTCCCTCTCCTTTCTCCTACACACTTGCCGATATCACACATTATGGCTTTGGCAGGTTTACCTCTATACTCCCACTCATTTTGGGAGTTCACAGAAATATCTTGTCATCTAATTTTGATTAAATGTTGTCCCTGGATTTTGGGGTTTGCACACTAGATGTTTTGCAGGCAATATTCAAAGAAATTAAAAGCTATGTCACCACCATAACCTTAGCATTTCCTTCGTTTACTTGTTTACTTTACATCTTTAGGTATCATAGAGATTTCCATATTAGTTTAATGGACTGAGTAAGTATGATACTAGATGTCAGAAAAGTTACTGCTATCTTTCTAGTTTGTATTTGGGATATTAATTCTCACCTAAAAAATGGTATAAAATTTTAATATTCAAAAATAAATGCAGTGTAAATGTGTATCCATAATACAAGTAGAACTGAAAAGATAATGACTTTTTAAAACATAATTCTACCAATTTTGTCAAGTATTATTTACAAACAAGCATAACCCTCCTGCTAGAATTAAAACAATAACAATAATTGATGGCTAAAGTATTTATGGATTAAATAGACATATAATACATAGCTTAGGCTAAGATTAAAGTTAATAGTCAGACAATCAGGAAAATAACACAATTCACTATTCTAGAGTCCATGTTCTCAATCAACAAACATTTTTGATAGAGGGTTCATTGCTATGAGATAAAGAATATGTTTGAACTCAGTTCCCTAATGTAATAAAATATTTTTTCTAAGACTTTACAGGACAATAAGAAAAGCAGAAATTTGAAGAGAAACCGAGAATAAACAGAGCAAACCCCCTCCACTCCAGCCCAAACTAAACTTCTCTTACTTCTGTTAGGCCATGTTCTCTCTCTCCATTGGGCCTTCTAACATGCTATTTCTTCTTCCTACAATGACTTTTACTCTTCTAGGCAAATCCTATCTAATCTTCACTTCTTCACACTCATAACAGTTTGTACTTTAGCTTTGGAAAGTAAATCATACTAATTTGTCTTCCCCACAGACTGTAAGTTTCAAGAGGTACAAGTTTGTTCTATTCTATTCTGCATCCTCATTTCCTGGACCATTGTATGTGTCTAATAAATGATAATGGGAAAATAAATGTCTGGAGCTCTGGTGAGTGATTACTTCTGGGAAGTCATATGTGAATATGTTACTACTGTAGTTAGAAATAATATGCAAACTGATATTCCTTTGGATGGCTGACTATAAAATTTTTTGTTAATTTAGCTAGAAGATTCTTTTCCAAGTTAAAATTTAAAAATTAAAATATGAGGCATTATGTTTTCAGTCCAGCTGGTTAGGTAATGATGTTCAAAAGAAGATATTCTTCTATAATCTGCAAGAAGAGCTTGCAGCAGGTTAACTGGGAGTTGTAGCTGCTGATGATAATAAATCCAAGTGGCAGATGTAGAACATCTTTTCATATAAGTAGTACTTCAGAAAAGACAAAGATTACAGATAAATCCAGCATGATTTTCCAAGTGTGAGCCACTAACCAAAAGAGTATAAAATCTGTCACCAAGGGTATAAAGGATAAATCTACAAAAACAATATTTAAGCATTTATAAACACTGAAGTTTTCAAATTTATGACAAAACACTATAAATATCATGAAATGTCATGATATCTATGACTGGCCATCTAGATTTGAGTGAATCTAGCAAATTAACATTTAAATCAAACCCATGAAATAGTCTCTAAAAATCATGATTTTAATGTACAGGAGCTTTTGACAAAACCCTTGAATAGATGAGAAAAATATAAGGGAAACTTCTAATTAAATGTTGAAAATGACATGAATGGCTCAGTGGTTTTTTGTTTTTTTGTTTTTGTCTTCGTTTTTTTTTTAAGTAGCATCTTTGTTTGTTTAGCTTTGTTGAAAATTGCATCTTTGGCAAAAGCAGGGTTATATGTAGCACAATACCATTGGATTAAGATGCCTGCCTCTTTGGTTTTAGAAGAATCTGGCCCAGCACCTCTGCTTCACTCTTGACAATTCTTGATAATCTGCTTGAGTTGTTGCATTACTTGGAACAACTTTAGAATGTGTCTCTAATGAGAGGTGCATGTAAGTACACCTTTATCTCACTAAGGCTTCACAAGAGGGCTTTTAAAAAATGGTTTCTACACAGGCTGCTGGATCATGTTTGCATTTATTTCTGCTGTGTTTCATTGGAGATTTGGATCTGGGAAGGTTAAATGAAAACTTAGAGTCTTAGACAATCAGCAGCAGCCTTCTCAGCATGATTCATTTCTGTAAGGATGTAGAAAGGTAGACCAAATGACATTTCTAGAATTTTTCCAGACTTATGCTAAAACTATTAGGAGAATGTTTTATGATTGGAATTGGCTCACTCCTTTCCTGGGATTTATCATTATGCATGACCACAGACTTTTAGACTATACATCCCATACCGTGCCAAAGATACTTTAGGGCTGAAAAATGTTGATCATCTCCTGCCAGTTAGCTCAGAAGACTGAAGAACTGCTCTGATGAAGCCAAGTAATAGGCTCCATCCCTGTAGAAGCCAGTTAATGTCAAATGAAGAGAGCTGTTCCCTGGCTAAAGCTTGCACCTTGAATCTCAGCCAGCTCTTGGCTGCAGCAAAACTCAGTTAATTTACCCTTGATCATAGGAGAAACCAGGAAAGACAATGTAGGTGAGTCAATGCAATACCATCATCACTCTTGAAAAGAAAATCTAAATATAGTCATTTCCTACTGACAGTGTCAACAGCATCATCTTCTTAGTCAAAAGTCGTTATATATTCTACAACTTGAAATTACTTTGTCTCCTTAAATCCCTTCCTACGTGTTAATTCTTGGAATGCTGATGTTGACAGCAGTCTTTATCTGTATTATATATGGGATTTGGAGTGGCATGAACTTTATAGAGAACATGTATTTCTTGGCTACAGTCATTAAATATAATGGATTGCCTGACTCATACTTGAAATGAGTTGCAGCAGGCTGTATATACTTCTTTTCTCCTTTCACTGGGTCTCTTTCCAGTTCATGGCCACATGTGAATAGCTCTTTAACCTTTACTAAAACATATACTAGGCTTTCCATCCTGAATTTAAATGAGGGGGGAAAAAAAAAAACCAGAGCAAAATAGCTAGTTTTATCCTCAACCCCAGAGAACGGAGGAAGAAGCACTACCTTTTCACTTCAGATTCCTCTGCCTAAAATACATCTCTCAGAAATTCAGAGTTTTCCTTTCCTGATTTTATTCAGGTTTCTATGAAAAATGCCAGCTCTTTCTAAAAGAGCACTTTCCAAAGCATCATCTCTGTCATGATATTCTCCTGATCTCCAATTCTTATCTCCTTATCTTGCTTTATTTTCTTAATAGGACTTATCTCTATGTGATATTAGATTTGGTAATTTATCTCTTTTGTTTCCTGCTCTATATCTAAAGCAAAAACAATACCTGGAATAAAAGAGGTGTTCAATATATATTTTTCAATAAATGATGTGATAAATGTGAACATAAATAAATAAATAGATACTGTAAATCATACATATATATATAGTGGCTTTTTTTTTCAAAACAACTTTGGTTCATTTGGAAACACAGCTTCCTTCCAATTATCCATTGTCTCAGACTTCTGAGAGAAAAGCTTTACAAAATCTGAATAATGGTTTCTTTTCTTGTCACAGAGTTGCAAGTAATCCCTAGTTCTTTTGTTAATTAACATCTCTTAACTTTTAAGCCGAGTTGTGTTTTTTGATAATGGAGATAAAAGTTGGCATAACACAAAATTAACCATTTTAAAGGGTCATTTATTCCAATAACAATGTTTTAAAACAATTATTTCTATCTAGTTTTAATACATTTTCATCACTAATTTTTTTTAACTAATTATTCACCTTGGAAGGGTAGGAAACTAATCCATTACATTGCAAAATGCTAAATAATGAGAAAGAATCAAGCATTTATCTCATCATTCCTATGTAGATATTGTATGGAGTAACCAAATACTAAATGAAGGAAAACAGATCTTTTAAAACATTTTTCAACTGATAAACAAAAAAGAAATTTTTCTTTTGTATTTCACTCTTTAGGACTCGTAGTGAATTGATGGATCTAGCTGTGTGCAAACATCACAAAAAGAAAGAAATCTAGACAGTCTGTATCTTGTAATAAAATAATGCCATCTACGTTTTGCCAAGAATTAAAAAGCCCCTACATTTACTGCCAATTTCCCAGAAACGCAGAGGATGGAGGAACATGTTAAACTATACTATGACTATGCAGAATGGGAAGAAACTTTTTAATGAGTAAGAAGTTTTAATTTAGAGTAATGGAAATGTTTTGAAACTAGGTAGATAGAGCTGGTGACTACCAAAATTTAAAGGTATTAAATGCCACTGAATTGTTCACTTTAAAATGATTTGTTTTATGTTATGTGAATTTCACCTCAATAAATTATTTATAAAAAAGCACTACAGCTATGAAAAAACATAACCTACAATTTCACATACACCTTTTTATAAACTGTAGGCTAGACAGATGTATTCTCTTTCGGAGAGGAAAAGAGCTATGAGGAGATGCTAATTCGGAAATGGTTATTTTAGGAAAAGAAAGGTCAGCGTATCTTTCTTGGCTGATGGTCATTAAGGTAATTATTTTATAAAGTGAAGTTTCCATTTCCCCCATGTATCAAGTTCATTCTAACACATTTCCTCTGGCTTAGCAACAGCCTGTTTAAACATATGTTTCTTGTATTTTACAGACATACTTGGCAAGTGCAAGACAAAATCAACGCAAACAATGTAGCTTACACAACTGGGAAGCTAAGTTTTCACACTGATTATCCAGCCCTCCATCATCCACCTGGGGTAAGGTGAGCCTCATCATATCTTCCATAAGGCAGGCCAAGGACCAATATCCTATATTTTGAGCCTAGAAAATTATATGTTTCACTAGCTAATTTGTCTTATGTAGATCTTTCTCCAAACACAATCCAAACTCACAAAATCTCTGTACCTAAATCCTAAATAGCTTCACATTCCCAAGGGATAGAAGAATTTCATGTTATGGTTTTTTTAAAACAATTTTTGTTTCTTCCTGAAAATAACCACTGGCACTTTTGCTTTGCAAATACATTTAACCACAACAGTACATTTTGAGGCCCTTTTGCACATTTACCATTCCCAGGAGAATTTAAAAAGAGCAAAGAAAACAAGGGAACATAATGTAGGATTTTTCCTACGAAGTCACATGGCCATCATTCATATTAATTAACTATTACTGCAAAAAAAAAAAAAAAACACTCTATAACTAAATGAGTTAAAGGAACATTTATTTAGGTCATGTTTTTATAGTTTGGGCTGCCTCCATCTGGGCAGTTCTGCTGCTGCTGAGTTGGCTAGGGGCTAGTTAACCTAGGTAGTAGCTGGGATGGCTGTCTCTGCTCCACTTGATCTATCTTATCATCCTCCAGCTGGCTAGCCCACCCAGGCTTATGCACGTGGCAGCTGTCAGAGTTTCCAGAGAACAAGCCAAAATATATAAGGCCCCTCAAGACTTAAGGTAGTAAGAGACACAATGTCACTTCTGCCATGTTTTATTTCATTTTATTTATTTATTTATTTATTTATTTATTTATTTATTTATTTATTTATTTTGGTCAAAGCAAGTCGTAAGTTTTGGTCAGATTCAAGAGATGAGGAAGTAGAGGCCACCTTTTATGGGAAAAGCTGCAAAGGCATACTACAAGGGGTATGAAGTCAAGGAGCAGAATAGCTCTGTCTATTTTTGGAAACCGTCTGCTCTCCGGTCAAGATTTATTGTCAAGGAAGGAAATGTTGGGCATGGAACTACAAATCCTCCAGAATTTCTAGAAGGGCCCTCTTCCACTATGTTATTACAAAACTGTCATTTTGTAAAACCAGTAACATTTTACAAAAGCATTGTTTTTGATAAACCAAGAAACAATCACAAAGCTACCTTTGAAAAGATATTTTGTTTCTATTTTTAGAGCTAAATGGGACTAAATGAAATGACTACACAGAAATTTATATCTTTAAAGGTAAATAGAAGAGGAAATTTGGAGTTATTCTCTAGTTAATGAAGATAAGATGGATAAAAATGAAAATTACTCAGTTTTTTCCATCATGCTGACTGAACAAGTTTTCTCTGTGCCCTCGTTTTTATCCATTGTCCTCGCCAGTACTAACTAAGCTGGTCTAGTATTTGACTTCACATTTTAAATTATTTTGCTGATTGTAAAATACCAGATGAGTTCTTTGAACTAAATGATGACAGTGAAATGACCACTATAGTCATTTTGGGAGATGGGGCTTGGGGGAGGAAGAGATATACAACATGATTTATTCTAATCGTGGTCCAAAAATTTTCTAAAACGTTATAGGGTTAAAAGCCAAAATAATCAGCTCAGTTTGTCTGCTAAATATAGGTTAGAAAGTTATATGGAATAAAGTTTTAAAAATTAGACCAGAAAACTAAAGCTTCTATTTGAATTTTTAAATTATCTGCGATGGGTTTTTTTTGTTTGTTTGTTTTGTTTTGTTTTGTTTTTTATGAGTTTGGGTTTTGTTTCTGGGTTAAAATTGAAAGCCTATGGAAAAGTGATTAAATGACTTCATAAATATTCCTAAAGTATAGTATAGTGCTTGACATTTTCATAGCATTTTGTAGTCTTTCAAAGCATTTTTACTTACATTACTTTATCTGATCTCTCTTAGCATTCCTTTAAGGTAGAACAGGATGAATCATGTATTTTTATGTCCAATGAGGAAATGACACACAGCAAGGTTAAATACTTTCACAAGGTGACATCTGATTAATAGGGAACTTGGAACTGAACCCAGGACTCGATCTAGCTTTTTTACCACACCATACCGGTCTTGAGTTGGACTTTTTAATTTCCATAATTTATATAATGTGGTGAATATTTATAGACATTGTCATATGTTAGAAACTCTTTAAATACAGCAACTGAATCTTATACTTCTCTGTATTCCAAGATTTAACCCAGCACCTTTCATGTAGTAGAGATTTAACCGACACGCTATCAAGAGGCAAAGAAATGCCATAAAGTTGTACCTGTCTCCATCAGCAAATGAAACATCCAAAGCTAAAATCTCCCAATAGGAGATTTTAAAAGATGATTCCTGAAATGTCTAGATCCTATTAAAAGAATAGTTAAAATATAGGCACCTCTTTGTGCTATTGTTTTTCAGGGATTTTGGCCCAAAGTTCAAGCGTTTTCATAACAAACAGAATAAGTCAATGTTCTTTTCAGTACAGACGAAATGATCTGGATAAGTTACCTGCTGAGAATTCAGTTTGATCAATTTGGATCATATGGGTCAGGGACAAGGAAGCACATCTTTAATGAAATGCAGATGTTGCTTCGCTCACTTCTTTGTCTGGGCCAAAAGTCACATGCTGCCATAAAGTAACATTTAGAAAGAAAATATTTTTGGTTCTGAATGACTTACATGAAATAAAGTTGGGTTTTATACACATCAACATATATTTACTTTTTGAATTAGCAGTGAAAGTGTTATCTGGCTCCATCATCTTTTTTCTTTCATTAAAATATAAGTATATAACAGAAGATTATTACTTGGTCTTGCCATATGTAAAAGACATCAGATGACTTTTGTTAAAATTTATATTTGAAATATTCTGTGACTTCATTATGGAAAATCTAAGAAACAAAATTAAAGAACACTGATTCTCCCAGAGACAAAGTTATGCTATTGTTTTGCCTTCTTGGAGTTTGGCACATTGAGGCTGAGATTTTCATTTCATCTTCTTTTAATCCAGTTGCTTCACTCTTCAATGCCCTGGTGATGAGGTAGTTTCCTGCAATGACTTGGTCAGCTTAGGCATGTATTTTTTTTGAGTTTAGAAAAATTGGCATCAGTTTAAGAGCTGAACAATTACCAATTTAGACCAGTTCTCTCTTAACATCAGAAAATAAGGCATCATCAATCTGAAATGGAATTTTAAAGTTTACAAAGCACATAGACACATACTACACAATACTGAATTATTAAGAGTACTGTAAAAAAAATTTCTCTTTTTATAGGAAAAGAACTTGCTGTATGAAGATTTTAAGGCAAATAAACCAAAGTCTGAATTCCAGCTTTACCATCCATTAGCTGAGATTTTACTAGCCGGACAATTTTTTTCAGCTCTGGGTATCAGTTTCTTCACCTTCAAAATGGAGATAAAAGTATCAAATTCTAAAGACTATAGTGAAAAATTAATAAGTGTATATGACAATCATAATTTGAGAATAAGTATGTATAAAACATTGAGAAAATTAATGCAGTTTTGAAAGAGTGGCAGGATTTGTGTTCTAGACCTGCATTATTTAATATAGTAGTCACTAGCCACAAATGACTATTTAAATTTTAATTTAAATTAGTTACATTTTGAAAAAAACTAAAATTCAGTTCCTCAGTTACTCTAAACATATTTCAAATACGCAATAGCCATGTGGGACTATTGATGACTATATAGGGCAGCGTAGAACATTTCCACCATTGCAGAAAGTTCTAATGAACTGCACTGTTCTAAGCAATTATGGAAATAAGCAAGGTATATGGATGTTTTTCTCACTCATATCGATATCCCCCTAGTCTAGGCCTTTGATCATATTGCCTCTTCCTTTCTGCAGGAATTGTGAGACATTGGTTTTGATTTTTATTTCACTCAATAGGAATAAAGTTGTCACAGCTGAATAGTGTTAGCTTTTTCAAGCAGGAAATTGGGGCCTAAATTTAGGTATTCAGAATCACCCACCCATGCTGACTTACCAAAAGGAGTCATATAACCAAGGAAAACAAACAAACTCCATTCAAGAAATATTTTTAAAATTTTACTATGTTTGCTTTTCAAAATGAAATAATATTAAACATTTTCCCCTAAATCTTAGTAAAAACACCTAACATTATCCTTTTGGTTTCACATTCCCAGTGTTTCTTGGGTTTATCTCTCCTCATAGCCCCACCCTACCTTATTCCCTTCTTATCCTTACATCTGAACTACTGCATTAGATGCCCAAGTAGTTACTCTCTCACTAGGTCCCCCTTAAAAAAATTTATCCCATGTAGCACCACTGGACTAATAGTCAAAATTCAGTTTTGACTTCTATATTCAAAAGCCTTTAGTGATTCTCCTCTGTACACTAGAGAAAGCCCAATATCCTTCATCTGACATTCAAGACTCTCCATGATAAGGTTCCAAATTACCTTTCCAACTGGATCTACTATTCCCAGGTGTGACCCTCTACTGCAGCCAAACTTTTTGATACACAGTGACATGTGCATTTTGTCATTGCCACCTGACTTGCTGTCTCCATCCTATTCTATTCAAAATCTTATCCTCCCTCCTTTACCCAGATTAAATTCCACCTCCTTCATGAAGCCAACATGAAGTCATAAATACTCCAACATGAAGTGCTCAGTCCCTGCAGCTATTATCTGTGCCTTTCATTTACTAATGAACATTATTATGCCTGTGCTCATGTTTTCAATTATAACAATGTCTGAATTATAAAATGTTAATTACAAGCTACTTCTTCTCCCTAAACCCTTTCTCTGCTGCACAAAGACAAATGAAAAAGGTTTGTTGATTTTAGTGCATCCATATCCTTCTGTATCTTTCTTTCACATAGTGTTAGAATATGTAAGCGCATGTCGTTTTAAAACATATTTCTCTTTATAGGTTCAGCTTCTGCACTGCATAAAACAAACTGTCACTGGGGGTGATTCAGAAATTGTAGATGGATTTAATGTGTGCCGAAAGCTCAAGGAAAAAAATCCACAAGCATTTCAGATTTTGTCCTCCACTTTTGTGGACTTCACAGACATTGGAGTGGATTACTGCGATTACTCTGTACAATCTAAACACAAAATTATAGAGTAAGTGCTATTTATAAATTTCTCACAGCAATAAAACAGTTGACAGCAAAAGTTTCATGAACCTAAAGCTTAAACTGTAGAAAGCTTCAATTAACTCCAGAGCTTTACTTTTTATTAACACTTTTTATTAATCAAATTTTATAAGGGAAGATAAAAAAACTTTTCACCATAAAAAAATTCTTTATCAAATTTCATAAAATCTCTATTCTTAATATGAGAAATAACTAAGACTTCATTTCCACTTAATTTTTAAAATATAAATTCTACATTGTTATAACCAGTGTGATTATACCAGTCAAAGTGAAAGAATCTAACACAAATTAAATCCAGGAGTTAAACAATGTCATCTGAAATTGATCTCTTTTTTCTTCACCTCTTAGCTTTACCATCCTATGTGTTGGCTACATTTTCAAAGATAATCAATGGAAGCTCCAAGTTTTCATTATCGTTAGCACTGGTAATTACAGAACACAAAAAGCATTTATTTGTAAATAGCTACAACAAAGCTGAATAATTCACTGCCCGATTTGTGCCCAAGTGTATCCTCGAGGCAATCACTATAGACGAAAAGTCTGACAATTCTGATTGGCCATTCTTGGATCATATGTTCATCTCTGGAGCCTCAGCTGAACCACACGGGCTAAGAATAAAACAGGGATGTCTCTCCGAATTGATGCCAACAAAAATCATCTGTTCCCTACAAAGAGCATTTTGTATTTTCTTCTCATTCGATAGTACTTGATCATAATTTTTTAAGTATCTATGAAGGCCATAAATTTATCTTTTTATTTGAGAATTATAGTGCTAGGACATGGTTTATTTAATTATATCTCAGTTGATGCAATTTGGGGTGTTTCCAATTTTAGAAGTGAGTTATATTCTTTCAGGAGAAATAGCCAAATAATATGAAAATAAACGCATTTAATTAATCTTTAAATCCTGAGTATACTCACTCAGTTTTCTCATATACATATAGAGCCTTCGTTTCTTCATTCAATAAATATTTATTGAGGCCAGCCACTATTTCTGATGCATGGGATATGTCAGTGAAAAAAATAATGATCCACTTAACAAATGAGTAAATTACAGTGAATGTTAAAACATTTGTAAGTGCTTAATAAAAAAGGAAAAGTAGGGCAGGATAAGGGGAATCTGTAGTACTAAAGACTTAAGAAGGATGGAACTTACATCATTAAATAATGTGACAAGGAAAAGTTTTACTGAGTAAGTGCTATTTGAGCAAAAACTTAAATGAGGAAGATTTCTCAGGAGATAAGCAGTTTCCAGAAACAGCTAGAGCAGAGGTCCTAAGAAGGTCCTTAAAACATGTTTAGTGTGTTCAAAGAAAGCAAGGAGAGAGACCACCTAGGAAGACCAGGTGCTGTAGGCATTAAAAAAAAAAAAGAAAGAAAGAAAAGTAAAAAAGAAAGCAAGGAGGCCAGTGTGGAGCTGAGTATTAAGAGAGGAAAGTCAAATGGGGATCAATTCATGTG